TAAATACCAAACTATAACACAAATCAGCATAGCTCCACTGACTCCCATAAATCTGTTCTTGTAGCTCTGCCCACTGATTTCTTCTTAGGACAAGCAAAAACAATCAAAAACATTTTGGCACCTTAGAGCTGCCGGAAGAGTCGATTTTGTTATTAACCCACAGCAATAGTTTAAAAGTATCACCATGTCACCTAACACTGTTTGAGCACTGCAGTCTCTCCATTTAACAACCTGAATTAATCAATTAGCATCCTATTATAACCAGCAACTGCATTGTTCAGCTCTAGTTGGGAAGCATGGGATTTTCTCTACAAACAAGCTGGCCCCTGCCATAGCACAAGCCCAAATGGGTATCAACTGGCTGGAAACAGGAAGGTTTCTAACCCCCCTATCAGTGAGGTTATGGAGTAGCCCTCTGCTAAGAGCAGTAGAGCCTAATTAGTTATAAAGTAGAGCTTGATAAATGGATGGATTTTAATGACCTGCTGGTCTGAACTAGTGAAGGAGAAGATTCAGCTTGAAGATCCAGGCTGCCCCTTCCAATCCTATGTTCATAAATTAACAGCTGCACCCTTGCTTCCTGGGATTTCCTTAAAACAGGGCACTGAGACGCATGCACATTATTGATCAAACCAGCAGGCAGCAAACTCCCAGCTGCCTGTTGCAGCCTGCACTGAGCTCATTACACCAGCTCCCAGGGAGAGCCTTTTTAGTGTTTTAGAGACAAAGGAATGAGCAAACCACTAAAATAAGTAGCAGTTCCACAGCCCTGTTATAAATAAATGCTAATATGTGGGGCTAACCTCCTATTTCATTCCAATATTATTCTATAAGCATGTCTGCACCTTAAACATTGAACTTGTCTAGAGTTAGCTTAATGTAAATCCATTTCCCCTGGAATTGTCTCCCACATACGCTACTGTCCACTTTAAGGCTGTAAGACCAAATGATTGCATTTCAGTGGGAACTGATAGGAAAACGGCAGCTAATCAGCCAAGGGCATGCCCCAGGTAGGGGTCTTTCCCTTCTTACTGTCACTTTTGAAATAGCAATGCTTGGCATAACATTTTGATGGTTTAGTTGACAGCAGTCCCCCCCCAGATTTGAAAGCCAGTAAATCAAGGCTCTTACAAGACTTGGGGTGAAGTCCCAGCCCCACCGAGGTCAGCAGCACTCAATTGCCTACAGCTATTACCCAACCTCTTACTACTGCTGCAGTAGAGGCTTGCTGCACTATTCAGGATGCTACTGCAGGGTCAACCCACTCCAGGGAAAGTTAAAATGGCCTTGGCATTTTCCAAGAAGAGTAGCAAAAAAGACAAAGAATCTGTACCAGCCTACAGCTGGACAGACGCATCACATTACTCAGAGCTTCATGGAGCCAGGTAGTTTTGCTGCACAGTCATCAAATATTTTGAAAGCTGTTTTCAATCAGACATGGAACAAAACCCTAAAATTGTTCAAAATTCTCCATAAAAGGAAAAAGCCCAGGGGCCTGGGCACCATAGTAGGGAACATGGCTGCCTGCCCTGGACACGTGGAAGCCCTGAGCTGCTACAACACCAGGTTTGCCAAGAGTCAGGAAGCCTGCCTGTTTGGAAACTGGGCTGGAGGCAAAGTCTGCCTGGAAGCAAGGAAGCCTTCCTGAATTCTACTGCAGCTCTGTGCAACTTGTGCTACCCCTGCAAAATGATTCCTTTAGACCATTTGGCCAATGCAATGGTGGGGGAAGAACTGGCATTCCCTTCTCCCTTAGTTATTGCCATGTTCTACTGGAATCCACTCTCCCACCACTACAAAGGTCCAGGTGGGCAACACATGGGAGGTTTGAAAGCTATGCCAACAGCTTTAGTTTCTCTGGCTTCCCTGCAATCAAAGTGCACTGCTTAAGCTGATGCTGGGCCACTGCTGTCTTCAGACAAACCCGTGCTTTGCCAGATGCCACCTCTTTCAGACAATTGCCTTGAAAAGAATCTCTTCCAAAACCCTGTGCAATGAACTGCCTATGAAAGAGAAAAATGGAAAGCTCTAGGGACAAACAGCCTCAAGTGACCCAGAGCTGCTCATCATCACAGAACAGCCCAGGAGGTAGCAGTACAAACTGTCCCATGGCAACGTGCCTCTTAAGAGTACATCTAGAAGGCAATCAAAGGCGATTGCGGGTATCGGGTACCAAAAGCACTGCAGCCACATTAGCAGGGTGCTCAGACCCAAACTGTCCAGGGTTATGGGCCAGTCTGTGCAGCTGCAATTAGGCTGCTATTGGTACCTAAAGTAGCTCAGGTACGCCTGCTGCAAAAACACCTCAATCTGCAGTTCAGCTCTACAACCAGGTCTGTCTCCACCGTCCACTTGATCATGGCTTTTTTACCTGTGTTTAGAAAAATGAATGGTAGCATGATGGGTTTGTCTGGTGATTCATGTCAGCTAAGAATCCAGCTCATCAGCTCCTGTCAGTGTGACAAATATCTTCCAAGACAAATCAACTCCAGGGCAGATCCAGCACTGTAAATCAACACAGATTTCAGAGCTATACACATTTACAACAGCTGAGCAGCTGGCCACAGGCAAATGGTCATAAAAAGCACCCATCACTTCAAGACACAGATACGCCTAGTGAAACAACAACATTTTGTCTTTATTAGGAGTTCCCATGGTAATATAACACAGAGTTCTTAAGGAATAAAACACAAGACTCGGGAAGGGGTGGGGAGGGGATCGTTGCCATTGAGACAATGGTCAAATATCAGTACTTCTTCTTGTCTAACACACATGATCAGCTTTAGCACTTACAGCTCCTTCACTCATGAGTCACAACCACAAATCCAAGGGTTAAATCCAGCTAGTATTAAATCCTACTTTTTTTTTTCTTTTTTTTTTTTAGAGCTTCAAGTCACTGCGGTTAATTAAGTCGTCATTTTTTTCTTTAAGCATTTACATATGACATTCATTAAACAGACACAAAGCGAACGAGCTCCCACAGGAAAAGAACATGCTTACAAGCCTGCAAAAATCTTTTTTTGTGATTTTTTTTTTGGTTTTTTTTTTCCTTTTAAAGAACAAACGGGAAAAAAAAAAAGTCATCATGGATCAGTGAAGGGAACAAGGAAGACTTAAGTGAATACTGAAGAGCTGCAAACTTTTCACAGAATTGAAATGAATTTGTGGTTTTCTTTCTCCCCAACTTGTTCAAATGCATTTCAAAGCACAGGTGGGATAAAATGAAATACAGCTGCAAAACGTGCGTGTGTGCGCGCGCGCGAGCGCATACACGTGTTTATGGATCAGTTCCACACAACACTGAACGTCCTTACCCAAAAGACTCCAGAGTTAAACCAAAATGGAAAATGCGTGGATGGATAAATAGTCTGATTTTGTTTTTCAGGCTGCTTTTTCAAAGGAACCTAAAGGAGTTAAGTGCTGCAATCCAGTGGGATTTAGATGCCCAAATGGTTTCAATATCCTTTGAAAATCCCAGCACTGAGTTTGCTGTAACAGCATAGTTGGGATTTATTCTGAAAAGCCTGCATATATCTATTTTCCTTACAAGAACCTGTAAACAACATATCAAAAATGCATGCAAACACAAAGTTAATGCATGTGCTAAAACACAGAGAGACAAGGAAGCAGATGGTGCAGACAAGGGCCAGGGGACAAAAAGGCAGTGGAAGTAATGCTTTGTTAGCTGTGGGTAGCAATAACCTCTATGTAAACAACCAGCCCAAGGCTTCTGCACCACTACAGCCTTCAAGACAGGCTTTATGTAGGACATAAATAGAGCCCATGTAACAGTCTCCATCTGTAGGGATTGAGCCCTCTGGCTCTTACAAAATTGATTTCTTGAGCTTAATAAGCAGAGCCCACCTCCTGGAATGGGTTTCAATGCCTACCACCTATCAGATCCAAAGGGTCCTTTTTCCTTAGTTCACAGGCAGCAAGCAGATATGGCCCCAGTAAGGACAAAGAACTCCAGTGAGCTATGATGGGTAATACGCAGGCCTCTGCCAGTACTTGCATGAGAGTAAATTCCTGAAGGAATGTTACATGTATAACCAATTTGTAAATGATTGGCAACAGAGCTACACTGAACTCACAAGTGATGCCCAGTACCACTGACTCTATGATTGCAGCTGCCATTGATAAAGAATTTCTTATGTGTTTTAATGATGGGCTTTCAGATGACAGCAAAAGACAAGACTCTTCAAAATGACTGCTCTTCCGCATCCTGTTTTCCTAATTATCAGGGTGATGGGTAGCTACTCAATTAAATTGGGTTCGTTTGGCAGCATGGCAGTAACTGACTAAAGCCCCAAGTTACCGACTTTCTCCTCCAGGAATGACAAGTTAATTGTGTAGAGGTTTTCTAGAGACTCTTTTACAGATCCTCTGAGGGTGTCCATCAGCTGACTTAGCCCAACTGAAGATCTGGTACATCTTGATGGAGATCATAGCTCATGAGCATCTTGTCAGGGATTCATAAACAAGTAAAACTAACCTAAGCACCAAGTGCTGGCTGAAATGGTGAAGTGCTCTGAACTCCTACAGCAAACTATCACAATGGCAGTGGTGCTGTTGAGAACCTGCAGCTGAAAGGAGGGGACAAGGAGGACAGGACAGGAATTCTCAACGCTGAGATAAGGCTTTGTAAACACAATGGTACAAAAACGTTAAAAAAAATAAAAACACGAACAGAGTTTTTTAAAAAAATAAAAGGAAGGATCCTCAAGGACCTGATTTGCAGCAAAATCTGGAAGGAAAAGAAACAATAAAAGTAGCTCAACCCACCAACATGGTAATGATGCCTGTTGTCAATCTCTAGGGACCAATTCAAGTGGCAGAGACAAAGCTGTTCTGTGAGCTCACAAGGGTAGTGGTGGGAGAAGGCAAACCTATGGTTTAGACCTGTGTCCCCCTCTGCTGCTGTGCTGCAGGTCAGGACCACAAGAGTTATCCAGTTTCACCCCATGAATTTTCTAGCCTGCTCAACATTCAATAAAAGCTTCTTTTTTTTTTTTTTTTTTTCTTTTTTTAATAAAGGCAGCTCCTGGGAAATTCACTTTCTCCTTCCTTTGCCAAAAGAAAGATGCTGAATGGGAACAGAGGCCACATGTGGCAAACATCCTCTTTCCATTTATTTTTGCATGTCAGAGGTGTCAAAAACAGGGCTGGGGTTGTCTCTTTAGATGTTCAGGGACAGGAGGGGAAGTGAGTGGGTGCAGTGAGGATGAGGAGGGCAGGGGGTTGAGAGGGAACAGAAAGTGGCGCCTTACTTGACCCCACCCATTGGTTGCCCGCAGTAACTGTCACAGGCTCTAAAAGAATCACAAGGGTCTCCAGGTGCCCCGCGCCCCCTTCCCCGGGTTCGCTAGGCGGCCACAGAAGGGTTTGTTTCTTAGCCCAAGCTGGTGATGTTGGCACGTCCGCCGGGTGGGGCCACGATGCGCTGCGTAGTGCGGCGGGGGATGTTATCGTCGATCTGTGCGCCTGGAGGGAGACAAGAGACATACCCCATGAGTGGTGGAGTCGCAAACACTGCAGCCAGTACCCAGGGCAGAGGTGCCATCCATGGACCAAAAGAACATGACTTTGCTGAAACTGCCTGCATCCTGTTTGGCCAGGGCTGAATTAAGCCCTCAACTTTTGACTTCTGAGGGAGGCAACCTCTGCAGGAAAGGTTATTTCCCATTTATCCACCCAGCAAGCTGCTTCTCTGCAAGGGGAGGACCCAGACTGAGGGGAATAACCTCAGCACATCTTGCCTTTTCCACTAGGTCAGAGAGGAGCACTGCATTGATCGCTACTGTTCAGCTGATAAAGGTTCTTTATCTTCATAAAGGCTAGAAGAGACTATGAAGGAACTGGGGCCACTGAAGAAGTCAACTGGCGAAGAGAGATGAGTGGAGAAGTTTCTGTTGGTCTTTTTTTGCCTTGGGACTAACTCAGCCCAACTGTCAGTGAGAAAATTTTTCAGGCTTAGCTTCTGTTGAGGTGTGCCACCCTGTCTACTCCCCTTTTATCAGACCCTTGAGCCACCCAGTGCACCCATTTGCATCAGGATCTCAGTAGAAGACCTTACTATAAAACAAGGAAGAATAACTATGACCATGGTGAACCTTGCCACTGAAGAAGGGTGTGTGACCCTTCCATGTGCTATCAGGTATCCAGGTTGTAGCTGTATTGGTCTATGGGGACAACCAATCTGGGCTCATGGTGGAGGTGATATTTTATTAGACCAACATAATTTTTTTTTTAAATGTCTTTAATTACAAGCTTTCGGGCCCAAAAGCTTGTAATTAAAGACTTTTTTTTTTTTTTTTTTTTTTACAAAAGTCTTGTTGGTTTAATAAAAGCTATCCCCTCCACCATGAGCCCAGACTACTTTTTCCCATATGCTGAGAACCCCACGCTCAGGGTGCTAGGTTGTTCCTCTGGGTCTACTGGAATGAGAGTTTCTAATACCCGTTTTCTTCTATAGGGGGATATGCTCATGGTT